AAAGCATCACGAAGATGACATTTCAGTTGTGTCTTGAAAGCTGACTCACGTGTTCTAGGCAGAGGGACAGCGTGAGCAAACGCCTGCTGTGTCATGTTTAGGGAAGTGCAAATACTGTTTCACCATCACAGGTGCTGCGGGGTATGAGCGTGGGGTGGGGATGGGAAATGGAAGAGTTAAGAAAGGCTGGAGAGGAGGGCAAGACCCTAAACGAACTTGACCTTAAAGGCCACAGGGAGACTGCGGAAGAGCAGGAACATGATGACATTTGGGCTGAGGCAACAGAGCGCAGGAGGAACTCGCGAGGGCTGGTCAGGAGGGGTTTGGCGTTGCAGCTGTGATGAGAAGTGGGGGAGAGGTGACCAGAGGCCGTGGCCACGGGGAAGAAGAGGCAGGCGGACTGGTGCATGTATCCACTTGTTAGATGCGAGCGGAAGGGAAGGGAGACAGAGCACTCGGGATGACTCCCGGCTTTCTGCGCGTCTCACTGGCTGACAGGGGAATGTGGGAGCGGGGGAGGTAGTGAGTCCGCTTCTGGACATGGAGGTTAGGGTGCCTGCGGGGCATTCTGCCAGAGACATAGTGAGGGTGGTCGGATGCACGGGTCTGGGGCTCACAAAAGAGACCTAGATCTGTGTGGCAGACACTAGCGCTCGTCCCTGACCAGTGGCTGGCTCCTTCTGTCACAGAGCCACTTGTGGTTGGGCAGTGCCACGTGACAAATTCTGCCCAGTGGGCGAGGTGTAACAGTCATGGCTACCCCCTCTAGTTGGATCACTTCACTGCTGAAGCTAGACCTCCTCTGCCCCCTTCCCCGCCCCCGCCCCCCCTGCAGGGTGAGCACGGAGATTCTGGATGAGGAGATGAGGTTGAAAGCTCTGAGGCCAGGTCACCGAGCCACCATACAGGGACAGCTTCTCCGGAGGGTCACCAGAACCTGGAGTGGATTCTGTAATAACCTCTCTCCATGTTTACGCTGTTGAGATTTGGGGGGACAGTTTCTTAAAGCACTTAGTCTAACCTATCCGGCTTAATACAATTTGAGACACGGATTAGGAAGTCATCGTCATATGTGTGACAGTACAGGCCAAGGGAGGGGACAAGGTCATGCAGGTACAGTTTGTAGAATGAGAATAAAAGTCCTTAGTCTAGAACTCAAAGGAACACCAACATTTAGGAGGGAGGCAAAAAATTTAAAAAAAATAAAAAAGGAGTCACTGAAGGAAACAGAAACAGTGACAGTGAACCAATGCGGTCAGAAGCCAGGGAGGATGGTGAGGAAGGAAAGGTTGCGGCTAATTCTGCCAGTCTGCTCAAAGGCCAAGGCAGACAAGGCCTGGAAAGAGGTGACTGGGTTTGGAAATGGAGAGATCACAATCTCTTCTGCTACAGCGGCCTGGGTTTGGTCAGGGTGGGGAGTAAGACTTCAACGGGCTGAAGGGCAAATGGGAAAACCCCAGAGAGCAGAACAGATCTTTCAAGAAATCTTTGTCAAAGAACACCGGCACAAGCTGGGTCACATACTTTAAAGACCATAGTTCAAACACGCGTGGCTGAACTAAACGTTGGGAATCCTCAAAGGTCAGAAAGGAAGCGAGTCGAGTGAGACCTGGAGCTGGTGTCGGCTCCGGAAACAGCCGCCTGTGTGTGGCGACCTGTAGCTGGGGTGTCCAGGCCGGGCGTACGCGGTCAGGAGACCCAGTCGAAAGCCGGCTGGAGGGTGGGAAGGCGCATCGGACCCCCAGCGGGTGAACAGGGAAACCCCATGCCGCAGGTGGGAATGGCAGGGATCCTCGCCGTCTCGGTTTTATACTGCAGCGTAACAATCAACCACTGATTTAGAGGGTTTTACTGACACACATTTACGATCCCAGTCTCTGTGGGTTAGAGGCCTGGGCGGTTTTCACAGGGTTCTCTGCTTCAGCGTCTCACCAGGCTGCGGTTCACGTACTGGCTGCGGCCTCGGTGTTATCAGAGGCTTGACCGGAGCGAGATCCACTTCTGAACTCCCTCTTTGTTGTGTGAATTCGCTTCCTTCCAGCTGTATGACCGAGCCCCAGCTTCTTACTGGCTGCCGGCCGGAGTCTGTCCTCAGGGCCTCCTCTCTGCAGCCACAGTGCTGAACAGAGCGCTCCCACGAAGAGCAGCAGTGGTCTCGCTGTGGTTGAGTCAAATGGGCCCTTGTTTACCTCGACCTCTTAGCATCAGACTTCCCCTCTTGGCCTGCTTGACCTCCATCTGATCTGAGACAGCCTTCCCTCCCCACTCCACACTATTTTCTTAGGTTGTTTCACCCACTCCCAGGACCTGACTATCTATACTATATGCCACGGATGCCTTAGTTTGTGATTCCAGCCATAATGTAAGTTCGTTTCCCACATGTCACCACATGGTGGTCTCACTCACTCCTATTCAAAATGATATTCAATACTCATGGCCAAGAATAAAACTGAAAGCAGAACCTTTTCCCCAGAAACTGGCTTCTTCTCATCTATCCTCTATCTCAAGTTGTAGCGCCACCGCAAGCCAGAAACCTAGGGGACAACTTACATGCACCTCTCGTACTCACTCCCCTTGCCTGGGGGCCAGCCGTCCCGTTGCAGAACCCTGTCTCTGCCTTCCCTCTGGCGTGCATTCCGCCATGGCTCTGAGCTCAGCCTACCGTCTTTCTTGAGACAAACTGCCTCCAATATTCCACATCACAGTGGATGGCGCCGTCCTTTTCCTTCTCTCAAGAGAACTGTGATTCAGTTCCTCCCCTCTCCCATATACTCCCTACTTAAGCATTACTAATGTTGTCTTTTGTATTTCTCATCGATTCCTGCCTTTCCATCCACACTGCCAAGGTCTTCAATGCCCTACAGTTAGGAGGAGCCAATGTCCTCTCTCCAAACTGCCCTCCAGTTGCTACTGATGTTCTGAAACAAGAATCTGGTCATCATTCCTCTGCTTAAGATGTTTTTCATGGGCTTCCCTGTCCTCAGAACAAAGTCTAACTTCTAAGCATTGTATTTAGGGACCCTAAGGTTAACTCCTTACTTTTTATAGTTCCCTCTTAATGTTTTTAAAAAGATTTTATTTATTTGTAGAGACAGGGGGAAAGAAGGAGAGAAACATCAATGCGTGGTTGCCTACCGAGCGCCCTCTACTGGGCACCTGGCCCGCAACCCAGGCACGTGCCCTGACCAAGAATCGAACCAGCGACCCTTTGGTGCGCAGGACAGCACTCGATCCACTGAGCCACACCAGCCAGGGAACCCTCTTAATTTCTTGGGCTTAAAAAATGTTACTCTCCTTCACTGGCTCCTCTACAATCATGCACGCTGGCTGCTCCATCTTCCCGGACTCCAATCCCGACCCTCTTCTGGCTGACTTCCTCTTCAAAATGCCAGGTCGGACATTTCTTTTCGGACCAGTTGCTCTCCTGCTTTCTCCGTGTTTTCCTGGATGCTGTACTTGCCTTCGTGGGACGAGATTTTGCTTTAGGTGTTACTCTCAGGTTAACATTTGACAAGGCAGTTGTGGTGGTTCTCAAGTCCATTTGTTTAGGCTGAACTGTACTTTCCGGAATTCTACTCCCGGAATATTCGCTAGAACATTTGAGTGAGCCGCTAGAGACTCGTGAGTGATTTTAGAGGGCGGCTGCGAGGCAGCAACGATCGTGCAGCCCACACACGTGCGGCCTGTTGGTTCGCCAGTCGTGGCGGGGCCCTCCCAGCCTTTCCCGGGGTCAGCCTGAGGGGTCTCTGACCTTCAGACCAGGCGTGTGTGGTCAAGGGCCTGGGGTTTTGCAGGCAATCTTACCATCGACGTCCAAGGTAATAAAACTGGCCATTTCGGTGTGTGTGCGCTTGTGATTCCCACCCATTCCCGCTCTCTCCCACTTTACATCCATCTCCCCTCCTGAACGGCCTGTTCTGTGAGCCTCAGCTCCTGCGTTAGGAACAGAGACACGGCCTCCCGGAGACGGCTCGGCCAGCTCCCACTCGGGGTGCAGGCAAACCCCTGCACACACACACACACACACACACACGCACACACACGTGTCCCAGCAGAGCTGCTTCTCTGGTGTTGTGTCACATGTTCTTACTGCCTTTCCAGCCGACTTTCACCTCTGCGTTAGGACCTGGCATCTCTGGAGGACCAGTGTAAGACGGGGCTTAGCACGAACTAGGTGTCTGTAATCATCAAATAATTCAGAACACCTGTGTTGACCCTCTCACACGCTTTTAACAATAAAGATGTCAATGTGATTTCCACAGTAGATGAATACATTAGCCATCAGTAAACACCGACCCAGATGACTGTTACATAAATTAAAATCCTAAGAAGTCGAGAAAATAGCTATCACCCATACGATACCTATTCTCAAATATTTCCTATTATGTAAGTTGTCCATTTGCGTACAAGTAAATCTTTATACAAGTATGGAAGAACTAAATGCAGAAAAACCTATGGGAAGGCAGAGTTTTCTGATTTACCTGCTGGATTGTTCTTTTTTTTATTAAGATTTTATTTATTAACAGAGGGAAAGTGAGGGAGAAAGAGAGGGGGAGAAATATCAATGTGTGGTTGTCCGGTTGTCCCCCATGCGCCCCCCACTGGGGACCTGGCCTGCAACCCAGGCATGTGCCCTGACTGGGAATCAAACTGGCGACCCTTTGGTTCGCAGGCTGGCACTCAGCCCACGGGGCCACACCAGCCAGGGCTACCTGCTGGATTCTTCAGAATGATTTCACAACATACTGAGTCCCTAATATTTTCTACAGACATTACAAAAATGATAATAAAGTCAGTGATATGATTTCATGTACAGTATTTCCTTTAGTTATTTAAAGAATACTAAAAGGCTCTAAACTTCCCACCACCTACCAGGCAGCCAGAAGCAGCTCACCGGTAACAGTCTTCTCCACAAGGTTATCGGTTCAATGGCATCTTTAATTCTTACCCACACAACAAATGTCACCATATCATTTCAGAAGATTACATGACTTGACAAACCGTGTTCAACTGTCACTTTATTGTAAGACGACAGAATTAATTACAAATGTAAATGATAACTCAGTAGTCTTTCGCCAGGCACCAAATATTATTAAAAGCACACTGCTTTTTCCAAAACCACCATCAGACGATTCAAAATGCGGAGCAAGAAACGTGTCCTGGCCAGCAGACTGTGTTAACTCCCTCACGAGAGGGAGCCCGCGCTCCTCACTTTCAGGTGGGGGCGCTGGACTCCAGGAGGAGGCGACACAGGAAGCTTCTGCCACAGCCCGGCTTCCGCTCAGTCAGGGTTTCTAGCCGTCCCGGTCTGGGTGGGTCATTTACATGATGGGCTGCGCCTGGGCCTTCTTTGCAAGCAGCTTCAGATCTGAAATGCACTTGGAGATCGTCTCCTTCTCCTGTGACGAGGAAAGAGAAACCTGGTTAGACCTTCCCAAGGCGGCCCGACACCGGCATCTCAAGGGTGCTCCCTGCGGGACCTGGAGGTTCCTCTGCACCCTCAGAATGGACGCCTGGCTCAGAACAACAGACTACCGGGAATTACTTAATGATGTACACAGGGAAGGTGCGACTCTGAGCAAATCCAGGGACTTACAGCCACATCTCAGAACTCGTCACACCCTGCACTTGTGGCCTTTTGACGAGAAAAATGTCTCAGCTCCTACGCTTGCTCAGGACTCGCTGCGTCTGCCGGAACCTGTTCGCGTCAAGATGCCGCCCCACGAGAGAAAATGCTTCGTCGTTGGGCACTCGTCAGAAGTTCCAGAACGAATTAACAAGTGCCGAGGCACCCCTGCAGTTAGAATCCCCTGGCTCACAGCTTTCACAAGTGAAACCTACGCAGAGTTTGAAGCCAGATGCCCCTGTAACCACGTGCCACTGGTGTTAACCTGCACGACCAGGTATTAGCTGCCTGCACGGGTTACCACCCGCTAAAGACCACACTAACGAACGGTAGGAATATAGCAAACGTTGGGGATGGAAATAATTGATTTCTTTTCTGTACTTTTTTGTATTTTCCAAGTTTCTTAATAAGTATATAGTACTTTTTATGTAAAAGATGGTTTCTTAAAAAAACTCATTAAATATACTATATATCTGGAAAAGAGGAAATTAGGTCATAAGTACATAAAAAATATAATTTTAAAAAGGAAATCAAGTTCAGGTAAATAACAGAAAACACTTCTGTTCCAGACCAATAAACCGAGTGGCAGGAAGAGGAAACGGAATAATCGTCAAGGACCTAGGACGGAAGAGGCTCGGAAGTAGCCTTGTCCGGTGGCTGAGAGTTATGGAGAAGTGAGCGACATTGGTGGACGGTTCCCAGATGAGGAACCTGAACACAAGTCGGTAACAAGCAGAGTTCTGAGCAACCTGTGGTTTGACCTCTGAGGTGAGGGACACTAACCAGACTCTGAGGGCGGAAGAAGCCAGCACGCGAACGTGCAGCCGTTTCTAGGCCCCACTCCGCAGGAGAAGCAGCCAGGGCCTGTCTGCAGGCTGAGGTCTCCTGGCCGGCCCCTCCGATCCTAACACAGCCGTCACCCGGTGCACGGCAGAGGCCCCGCCACAACTCCAGAAGCTTCCAACGCCGCGTACCTGCTGTGCGGAGATGCTCTGCACCACGTGCTTCTCCACCCAATTTATCATGTGCTCCTGCTCCTTCCGCCGCATCATGTCCTGCACGGAGATGTGGTAGTCCAGGCGACTCTTCACCTCCCGGTACACTCTGTGCAGCCGCTCCCGGTAGGTGACCTCCAGGGCCATGGCGATGTTATTCTGAAGCAAAAGCAAGAAACGATGAAAACTGTTTGCACAGCTCAAGGATCACTTCCACTCAGAGGTTCCTGCCTCCCACAGTTTCTGAGTGTTCTCTTTCTCATTCAGTGTAACTGCCACACAACAGTACAGTAACTTCACACGGACAAATGACGACTCAGTATCTGTATGCACTGTGAAACGGTCACCGCACGAGTCCAGTCACCATCTGTCACCACGCATGCACTTCTGGACTCTGCTGGTTTTATCAGAAAGGCCCTGTCAATGCCAAGGGTGCCGTATCGCTTCTCACGTTCTCTCTTTCTACTTCTATGGTTCCATTTCTCAAGATCTTCAATTCATTTGGAACTTGTTTTAGTACGAGGCGGAAGGCAGGAGACCAACTTTACACTATCAACGGAGGTGCCCACCTGTCTTTCCTCCCCCACGATGAGAATGCCTCCTACCCAACCGCCCTCTGTGTGCAGGTCCGTCTGAACCGTCTCGCCTGCTGGCCAACCTTTCTATTCACACCGCACTGCGCTGGTTCAAGTTCATTCTAATCTTACAGTGAATCTTAGTATCTGGTAGGACTGTTCCCCATGAATTCACTTTCTCTGAATACTTCTGGATACTCGTTACTTTTTCTATTAATCAACTTTCTCTTCTCTAATCATATCAACTCTTGCCTCCAGAACAGTATCAAATTAATACTGGTGATAGGAATGTTTTCACTGGCCAGTCTGTGATGAGACCCCTCCCTTCCAGGTCTGCCCGTCAGACATAAAGGCCTGGTGCATCCACCTCCAGCAGGCCCCAGCACTCCCAGCACACCTCCTCAGTGCCCTCGCTCTCCGCTCCCACCTCTCCCTCTCCCTCACTGCCTTCGACTCCCCGCGAACGGCCCTCCTTCCCACGTCACTGAGAAAAGGAAGCGATGCCAGACTCCCCACGAACTTCTGCCACCCCGTGAGACAGCCCACCTGACCCCACACTCACGCACCCTGCCTTCCTCTATGCGACTGCGGCTGACCCACCCACGTTCTCACAGCCCCTCCGCTGGGGCCCTCTCCCACAGGCCCTCTGGTCTCCCAAAGGGCATCATTCCGGCAAATTCCTCCCTCCCCTTTCCTGCATTGACTTCTCTCTCTCTGCTAACTCCTGTCACATGCTCACAGGTAATGGTGCTTTCCATCTTTAAAAAAAAATCTGCCTTGACCGCCACACCCTCTCCTCCTAGCTAACTCCTCTGTTCACCATTACAGTAAAACTCCTTGACAATTTTTGCAGTTGTCTATACTGACTCCTATTTCTTTCTTTCTGTTTTTTTCCCCCAATCTACTGCCATCGCTTCACTAAAATAGCCCTTACTGAGGCCACCAAGAACCTCCATGTGGCCACATCCTATGGCAAATTCTTAGGCCCTTTATCACTTGATCGTAAGCGACTACAAATTGAAACACCTGCGGTTCCCCTGTGTGTCCCAGTCCTACAGCTTCAAGTGCCACCTGTCAACTCAGGACCCCCGGAGTGCAGCCCGCACGTCTCCCCGTCAGGTCCAGACTCACACATCCCATGTCCTAAGCTCTGCTCCACCACGTCGCGGGCACTTCCGGCCCCGGGCGCCTGAGACCGAGGCTGCAGCAAGGCAGCCAGCGTGACCCTTCAAACAGGAGGGAAATCCTATCCCATCTCTGCCTAAAACCCTCAGTGACTTTCTCCTTCTGCTCACTTCCAAGCTCTCACGGAGCCTGTAGGACTTTCCGTGAGCTGGCCCTGGCCACACCCCACCTCGCTTTTCCAGTCCTCCGCCCCACCCACTCTCCTTCACTACACCGGCCTCCCTCCTTTGCTTTGCCTACACCGGGCAAGCTTCCTGGTAGGGGACCTTGCAGTTGTTCCTCCCTCTGCCTGGAACGCTGTTCCCCCAGGAGTCCACACGGCTCACAGCACTACTTCTTCAGGTCTCTGCTCAAAAACCACACCAGAGGCCTTTCCGGACTGCCCACAGAAACTGGAACTCCCTCCTTGCAAACTCTGCCCCTTTAACATTCCTTTATTGCTCTGCAGAGCACTTACTGCCACTTGAACTCATGTCTCATAGATTTTCCTTTCTGTCCTCTCAAACTGCGGCTAAAACATAGACTCCATGACGGCAGACTCTGCCTTGTTCTCTGCTGTGATCCCAGAGCCCTGCCCTGCCGGTGTCTCCGCAGAGGGAGAACTCAATGATAAGAATGTTAGAGACTAGCATTTGATTCCTTTGAAAAAACTACGTCCTCAAAAGTCAGATCTTCTTTGTGTGTACATATTATACGTGAGACAGAAAGCATTCGCTCCTCGTAACCTAAATATGCATGGAAAAAGGTTTTCAAACATTTATGCACCTAAGAATTTTGGGGGATCCTATTTTTAAAAATACAGATTTTTGGACAGCTCCTGGCAGAGGTTCAAACTCCACAATCTTCGGACTCCTGTAACAGACGCCCCACTGTCAGGATGCCTCACTGTAAACACGAGGTGGGAAGTGCCAGGCTCAAAGCAGTGAGCAACACAACACCCAAACACGTATGTTCCCGACATTGCTTTAGAAACAAAACGTCTGAGAATCTAACTATGCTCTGACCACAGTGAAAAGTTCTAGTGCTACCCAAATCTGCTTTGTGAATTTGGAATGTAAGGTATCAGACGGTCTTATGGCAAATGTGTCCTCATGACGTGCCTTAGGCAGTGAATACTATTTTTTAATCAGCTATAAATTAATGACTATTTCCTTTTATGTGGATCCGAAATGTGTTCTTTTATAACTTGCACTCTTCCTAATTTCAGAGTAATAATCCTAATCAACTACCCACTGGATAGGTCTTCAATGTCTGCACAGCAATAACCGCCAACTCCCCCCCCATCTTCTCTTTCCTGAATGAAACACGCTCTATCCACTCAGCCATTCCTCAGGTAACAGGTTCTGAATTTCTGCTTCAAGTGCACACGGACGAGTAACTTCATTCCCCTTAGGAAGCTCCGAAACCTACCCTCTGGACATCAAACAGGTAATGGCGCTTTTGAACCAGCGCCTGCTGCGACTTCTCCAGATCAATTGCATCCTGGATGCCTTTCATGGAAGCCTGCTTCGCTTCTTCTAGCTGGGCGATTTTTTGCTGCAATTATGATATTTATAACAAAGATCAGTGAAAGCACCAAGGTTCTCAAAACAGATCCATTTCATTCTTCCTCAAAGTCATACCCCTCATTTATAAAATCAAAGCACACTCTAAGTAGCTCACGACGCCTTGAAGAAACATACATATAGGAAAAATGCACAAATCCTTAAACTTCTGATCTCAAATTAGTATCTAACAATACCTATAAGTGTACACATAGTAATTAGGCTAATTTCCGATTATATCGAACACACATACACACATTCACACAGGAAAACACCACCTGACGGCCCTGATGGACGCATCAGGTGCGGCCCCGAGTGGGAACTGGGGTCTGCGGCTCTTACCTCGTTGAGTTTATCAGCGAACTCCCCGACAGAGGCGCCGTACTTTTTCACCATGAAGACGAGCAGCCCTATGGTTGATATGGCAGAAATGGTCTCGGGAGTGACCACGTATATTTCTTTGGACAGGAAATACAGGATGAGCCCAGTTCCGAGCACATAGGGTCCTGAAAGAAGAAAATGTTACTTTATGACGGATATGCCTGGGCGAGAAGGGGAAGACAGAGAGGCACTTCTGTATTCCCTCAGTGGCGGGCAAAGTGAAGTCATGGCCGAGTGAGGAACTGCGGACTGGAAGACACCCAGCCGAGCTGAGAGGGCAGGGATCTGGACTCGAGGAAAGGGGACTCTGCGCTTGTACGGAGCTGATCAACACAAATACCTCGGCGTTTAGTTTCCTGCTCCGTAACCCGGGAACAGGGCCCTCTCCCAGGGCCGATGAAACAGAAATAACGGTGTCAAGGGCCTGGCACGGCCGCACAGCAAACAGCCACTCCATGAGGATGGTGACTCTCAGAAGGAATCTGTGCAGCGAGCTGCACAACTTACTGAATGGGACACTGCTCGGGACAAAACTTACCCACTCCTGCTCATTTTTACTGAACAGGAACCTGGCACCGAAGGTTAAAGAAAACCCCACAACTATAAAATAGTATATATATATATATAAAATGAAAAATTAAGTGTTAGAACTCTCAATTCCCAATCACAATGCTTCACATCGATGTAGCTATCTTTATTCCCCTCACAAAATGCTGCGCAGAGACAAGGCAGGCCCCCGGGGCAGCTCTCCCAGTGTTCCCGAGCAAGACTAGCACCAGCGGATGGGAGGCTCTGCCGAGAACGAAAGGGTTGTACTGCAGACCCCGGAGCAACGTGGTGGGCGATGGGGAAGTTAGGGGTGCTGCCCCCACCACCCGGTCCAAAATTCGCATGTAACTTCTGACTCCCTCAGAACTTAAGCACTAACAGCCTGCTGCTGACAGAAGCCTCACCAGTGAGTAACATAAACAGTCAATCAACACGTACTTTGTACACTGTATGGGTTATACACTACATTCAGCAATCAAAACAAGCAGGAGAAAAGAAAGTCGTAAGGAAAAGATTTACAGTACTTATGGGAAAACATCCGCATGTAAGTGGACCCTGCAGTCTGAACGCATGTCAAGGGTCAACTATAGTCTCAGATATATTTTACCCTGAGTTTCCCACACCAAATTCCAAGTTATTTTTTAAACATTTGCCCTCACATGGACAACGGTGCGGGGACTGGCTGTGGAAGCGGTGGGGTGGGCTGCATGGCGGGGGGAGGGGGGGGGAGTGGGATGACTGTCACGGCATCAACAATAAAATATATATAAAAAAAAAGACCTAAAAGGCCCGCCACACATAACATTTTAGTGAAGCTCTGAGCACACTAATGTTTCCTGCAAAAGTTTCGGTTAGGGACCTGCTATTTTAGGCCACTCCCTGGGGGTAAAAACAAAGCCTCCGGTTCCCAAGGTTTCCGTCCCAGCAGTACTGGGTTCAGCAAGGAAGGCAGCGCATGCAGGGGAAAGGACACTGGGTACTCGGAACACCTGAATTCAAGTACAACTCATGAAGAGAGAATAAACCCTGGCAAAATCTTGATTTCTTAGTTTTTTTTTCAAGATTTATTTATTTTTAGAGATGGGAAGGAAAAGAGAGAAACATCAGTGTGTGGTTGCCTCTCACATGCCCCCCACTGGGGACCTGGCCTGCAACCCAGGCACGTGCCCTGACTGGGAATCGAACCGGCGACCCTTTGCTTCATAGGCCGGCACTCAGTCCACTGAGCCATACCAGCCAGCGCAGTTTCTTAGTTCTTCTGGATAATAAAAATGTCTTCATAGGACTGTTGTAAGCATTAAATAATGTTAAATGAAAACACATTACATTATGAAAATACAAGGTTTCAGAACAGTTTATGCTTTTCTGAGAGGGGAAAAACGGATAAATACGGCCCAATTTCTGTTTTCATGCTTTATTTTAACCTGCCACTCTTTCCATTGTTATCTGACAGTACAGCCTATAGTTCTGCATTTCTGGACTGTGCATCCTGCAATTGAATCTGAGGCCCGTGATGGCCGGCCCCTGGCTCACCGCTGTGCGCCTGGACCATTTGATGAACTTGGTACATCCACAAATGGAGAAGACAATGCTAAAATTCAAGTTAAAAATCCCAAACAAATATATTCCAAAGACAAGTCAGAGCAACTCAAGGTCCTGTTGCACGGAGCCACTCCCACAGCTTACTTCCACAACCGCTGACTTGACTTGCGTGGCACGTGCGAAGAGGTCAGAGGCCACCAACGCCCTGGGTTAGCATGAACCGTGCCACCTGCATGGGCAAACGCTCACCTGTTACGCCGGTTTTAGGATAAAGGAACTGGAAGAATTCCTCGGGGATCAGCCCGTGGCGAACTTTCCCTCCATATTCCGGAAGAGGCGGCACAGGGGCCAGGCTTGGCTGTCCAGTGTGGAAGATCCTGGTTGCCTGCAACACCCTGCAGGCAGCAATTGTGCAAACTCAACGCCCATTCTTTAAAAGAGAACTCAGTGTAGGGACAGTCAGCAGAAACAATGAATGGGGGTGAGGACGGAGGCAGTTTCCCACGGTCACAACAGGGAGAGACGAGACCAGGAACGGGAAGGTTAGGGTCGAATGATCAGCTGTGTGACAAGGGTAAATGACCTGGTAGAGCCGTATGTCATCTCCTCCCCAGCACTAGGATCCCACTGGTAAGTCTCACCAGTTGTCTGTCTGGCACTCTGTACGTCTACTGTTAGCACTGAAATACATGGGAACACGGACGGCAGCCATAGCACCCGGGTTCAAGTCCTAAACTTGCCACTTGACTTTGAGCAAGCGATTTAAACTTTGTACTGTCCGATTCCCGTACGTGGGAATAAAGGGTACCGCCTTGCAGGGCTCTGGTGAGAACTGAGTTAGTACACGTACAGTGTTTAGAATAGTACTTGGCATATGGTAAAGTTCTACGTGAGCAGTTAGCTACTACACGCCCTCTGTGCTGTGCGCTCCCTGGCAAGAACTTTGACCTTTGATACTCTCTGTGATAGGGTGGTGACCAACCACACTATGTGAAACAGGGTTTTCAGTGTTAGGCAGAGCTAATTACATTCACCTTTGAATTGCACAGCTGTGTACGTCCTGGAAACCTCCCTCCGTTGGTTCTAACACCATTCTCTGAAAGAAAGGTAACGCTCCTGCATCTGGGTTAGACACCTCGCTCCCTCACGCTCCTGACCGTCCACAAGGGGCTCGGTGGCTTTGCTTACAAAAACGAGGTGCACAGAGCGGATTCACCAGTACAGCACGACCAAAGCATTCATTCCACAAATAGACATTTTGAACTCGCTATTGCCATTTTTGGGATTGAGCTGTTGTACTATAGATTTGCAAGCTATTCTTGTGTCGAAGTAGTCTAAGACTGCATTCTTAGTGATTATAGCAAACTGGTATCTCATTAAGTTTCTGATGAAATAAAGTACCCTAGTCTTTTCCCTACCTGCTGTCAAGCTTAGTCTCCCTCAAATCCGCAGCATGTTTTTGTCCTCCCTCCCCACTCTCTGTGCCTCCCCGTGCAATGTAAGAGTTTATATTATTTCTTTGATTTTGGTTAGTTGCTTGTCTCTTGAATATTATTTTTTTCAATTACAATTTATATTCAACAGTATTTTGTATTAGTTTCAGGTGCACAGCATAGTGTGAATATTATTTCTGCCCCCCAGTTTATTAGCTACCCCACCAAACTTTTGCAGTCTGAGAACCATGCTTGAGATTCTTCCCTTTAGATCAGGGTTTTCTCAAGCTCAGCACCACTGACACCTGGGACTACTGACAATTCTTTGTTGCGGAAGACAGTTCCGTGCACTGCAAAGTGACCAGCAGCGTCTCCGCAGCCTTTACACACTGCAGGCACCTGGTGTCACACCCCCACCTTCCCACCCAGGAGTGACAACCAAAAGTTTCCAGACTGTGACAGGAGTCCCGTGGAGGGAACCACTGACTTTAATCACAGCACTAAAGAACTCGCTTTAGGCTGACACAAATCCCTTCCCACTTGGCTGGCTCAGTTCAAGCCCTTACCTCCTCTCTTCTGGTCAAATATCGCTTAAACCCAGCCCCCTCCACACTGTCGTCAATGTTTTTAAAACGCAAATTTGACTTAGAAACTCCAGCAAGCTCTCTCCTGCCTAGAGAAAACAAACTCATATAACACACGATTCAGCACCTGTCAAATTTTATACCCTCACCTCTATTCTCTCTCCTACCCTCCAGCCATATGAAAGTACTTAAGTCTCAACAACAAACAAAACAATAAAAACATGCCTCGTGCCGTTCCTTCTGTCTGACATGCCCCCCACCCAGCCTTCAGAACACCTCGAGGACATCCTTTACAAAGGTCTCTGCAGTCTTGGGCTAAGGGTCATTCATTCCACAAACCATTCACCGACTTGGTACTTATGCCAGGCCCTGAGAGCACGGCGGTGAGCAGACCCAGTCCTGACCTTCCACTCTCTAGCAGGGGTGTGGGGCGTGCACGCACAGGGCCACACGCAATTTCAGGCAGCTGTTCTAAATCCCATGGAGAAGGAAGGAGCAAGGGAAGGAGGGAGGGAGCAACGGAGTGGGAGAATGGCTTTTTTTTGGCGGGAGGCCTGAGGACATGTGAGCCAAGGACCAGGGGAAAGCGAGAAGAGCAAGTACAAAGACCCTGCGGCAAAAATACGCTGGCAGTTTTCAAAGGACAAGCGGGAAGACCATTGTAACCACAGAATGAGCTAAGACAGCAGGAGGAGATACATAAAGAGGCAGGAAGGGATGGATGCATTTTGGGTCTTCTGGGTTCTGTAAGTTTAGATTTTATTTCAAGTGGGATGGGGAACTCTGAAGGGTTTGTGGAGGGGCACAGGCGAGGGGACGGACATAATCCCTGTGGCTGCTGTGACAACGGGCTGCACTGGGAAAGAAAGAGATGCAAGGAAACTAGTGGAGACTCCTGAAATCTCCCAGGTGGAGGCTGATGGGGGTCCATGCCCAGCAGCAGTGGTGGCGGCAGAAGGGGTCGGGGTCCAGACCTCAGCTGGTGGAGAGCCTTGCTGATGTATGAGATGTGGAATGTGAAAGGCGGCGAAATCGAGCATGTTCCTTGTATGTTATGTGTCTATCTTGTATATTTCACTTATTACCCATATAATGATTATTTATCCGCCTATAGAGAGTCTCTTACTTTTACCTCTGGTAAGTTGGAAGCAGTCAATTATGAAAGCGGTCTCACTTTACTGCATACACAAAAATAGTTGCAGGTAGAAGAAAGCCACTTTTTCAAGCCATAGTACAGTTATCAAATTTGGCAAGATTTAGGGCTAAAAACAGAAATTCCTCCCCCCAAAACCGACATGTTTTATGAAATAATATTAATAGTAACAGCTGCTAACATTTACCAAGCACACACTATACCATGCACTGTTTTTACAGTTTCATGGGAATAAAGTCTTGTAATTTTTAAAATCCACAGTGTACTATTACCTCCACTTTGCAGATAAGGAGACTGAGGTCACACAGCTGCTAAGTGGGGAGGTCCGGTGTCCCTCGCTCTTCCAGCTCTGGAGTCCTCACTCTAACCCACTGCTCTATAGCCACCCCCACTCTAGACTGTGTGAGCTCCATAAAGGCAGGCACTTAGCCTCACTCCCCCTTCTAACTCTGGTTCTACGAGTAGCAAATAAATACCTACTGAGTCAATACATTTCTCTAACTCTTCTGATCTAACAGTGAAAGTCGGAATCTGGGATACGGAGCAAAAGCAATGCACTTCATAACAAAACCTGCTCACTCATACGTGGGATAGGAATCAGAAAGCCATGAACTAACAAAACAAACTCACAGACACAGACAACAGCATGAAGGTCACCAGAGGGGAAGGAAGAAGAGGTTAAAGGGGGCCCGATATATGATGACCGAAGGAGCACACAGTACAATATACAGACAATGCACGAGAGAATTGTGGGCTTGAAACTTAATGTTAACCAATGTCACCCCAATAAATTTAATTCAAAAGAAAGCAAAAACGTGTTCTTGGGTATGCAAAAATTCTTACTCTAGGAACTCTGATCGGAGCTTTGGCAGTTGTATCTAGCTGAAGGTCACAGGGAGATGGGCGGGGCTTAGAAGACAACAAAACCAGTTTGTAGTTCAGTTAGAACACGTCATTTAAACCCTTCAACTTTGCCATTATGTGATACGACGATAATGTTCCAGGCAGTTACAAAAGCCCCAATGTTTGAATGATGCTTTACGAGTTCCAAAATTCCTTAAAGAAAGGTCATTCCTGGCCCGAAGCTAAGAGAAGGTCCCCGAGAAGCGAAAAGTGATGCTAAAACAAGGACGAAGGGGCGTTATTACACCCCTCTTACTCACCCTGGCCCGAGGAGGGCCGCGCTCTTCAGAGAGGGGCCTGCAAATACAAAAGGCGCAGGTCAGCAAGGTCAAGGTGAAATCTGGTTTGCCCCTTCCTCGGTCCCCCCGGGGCCCGATCACTAAGGCCATTCAAACCCTCTTTCCTGTCCCCCGAGACCCCACGCTCACCTTCCGAGAGGCGCTAATAAATCCCCATTCAGGCCCAAGTCCCGCTGCGCCTTTCTTCGCCCCTTTTCCTTCCACCCCCTCCATATAACCCCAGACGGGCTGCTTTACAGTCACTGACAGGTCAGACCACGGTCTACACCCCTTACCTGCTGCGGCGGCAGCGGAAAGTACCACTCGAGACAGCATGGTCAGCGAGGGTCCGCTCGGAACTCTTGGCGTCCCAGTGACCTGAACGACAGAATCTGTCAGGGGCAGGAGCAAGATGGTCGCTCGCAAGGATCGCGAGAAAAGAACGTGAACTCTCGTTCCCTTCAACTTCCTGTCGAATTTTTTTCTCTCGCGATAAGAAGCACAAAACGAGGTGAACCTATTGCTGAGGGCGGCAGCCGGAACGCAGAATGAAAAGTAGAAGCAATTCTCGCGAGATGTAGAGAGCCTGCCTGTCCAGAGGGGCGGAGGCCCTGGGAGGTACCACGTGGGAACTCTCCGGGCTCAATCTCCTGCGGACGGCCACTTTGGGTCTAGGTTGGCATTGAAACCGTGGACATGAGGAAGGAAACGCCGCCTCCTGTAGTGCCCCCGGCGGCCCGCGAGTGGAACCTTCCCCCTAATGCGCCCGCCTGTATGGAGCGGCAGTTGGAGGCTGCGCGGTACCGGTCGGGTGAGCGGAGATCGCGGGCCTGGGGCTCTCTCACCCCGGCTCGGGAGGACCCTTCCCCAGACTAGTCCTTCCAGCCTGCCCCCGCCCCGCCTGCCACCCTGGTCCCTCCCTCGCTGAGCTCTGTCCCCAACTGTGCCCAGTGTTCCTGAGCTCAAATCCAGGCCCGCGTGGTTTTCTGTGCGGTCGCCATGGAGACGAGCCCTTACACGCCTCTTGCGCTGACAGCTTGTACCTCCTTTAGATGGAGCGCTCCTGCTTGGGGCTTCAAGCCTGAGTGGTCGCTGCTGGGCTGGCTCCCTCTGGCTGTTCAAAGACCCCTGTGCCGCCCCCAATGAAGGCTTCTGCTCCGCTGGAGTCCAGACGGAGGCCGGAGTGGCTGACCTCACTTGGGTGGGGGACAAAGGTATCCTGGTGGCTTCCGATTCAGGTGAGTCACTTTCTCCTCAATCTCGCAGGGGGAATGGAGGCCAGGGGGTACAGGTCGGGCTAGGTTCACTCTCATGCCCCAAACTGAGTTCTTGGGGGAGCTTGAGGGTGTTGGTTTTGTGTAGGTAGAAATGCCTTTTTCTACACAATGATTCTAAGTGGCCGGATAGAAGATTCTAGCAAAATCCACAGAAAAATTAAGAAATGGGTTACATTCACTTTTCCTTCTATGTAACCTGCCCCGTATCCCCCCAGTCCAGACCAAGCCAATCTGTGCTGTCTCTTCCCATTTTTTTCTTCATAAATGTCTTTACTCTGCTTTCTTTGTTTTGACTGTCAGACTCAGTAGTGGAGACTTTGTTATTTTAAAAAAAAACACAGAATTTGGGTGTTGGCAGGCTTCACTGGGAAGGGTAGATGTGGACAGTAAAAATTGACCCTCTCTGACAGTTGAACTTCAACACTTCATATACTCAGGACAACTTCTGGGGCGTTCCCAGTACTTAGCCAGTCACTGTGCAAGACACTGTGTTGTTCAACGTGTATTTTTAAGATTCCGTGAGATGTGTATTGGAATTGTTCAGCAAATATTTATTATAATTAGGAAGCTTTGTTGTCCTTTTCTCCCAGGAACTTCTTTTCCAGTGTTTTCTCACTGGAAGTGGGGTAATGGATTTTACTGGCTGTTCCATCTTTTTCTAGAAGTCTTCCTCACCTAATTGTCTGGGCCGTTACTAGGAAAAGAGTAATGCCAGCATAGAGGCTAACCCTTCCAATGATATGGACTTTGCTGTTGTAGAAATAACTTACTTTGTTAGTGTAGTGGTGATGGGCTACCTGGGTCCCGGGAGTGAGTTGCTGTCTTGGTGGAATTCAAGCTTGTTTCCATCCCCCTGCATCCTCTCCCTGACAGGTGCTGTCGAACTGTGGGAGCTGGACGAGAACGAGACACTCATCGTCAGCAAGTTCTGCAAGTACGAGCACGACGACATCGTGTGCAGCGTCAGCGTGCTGCGCTCCGGCACGCAGGCTGTCAGCGGGAGCCAGGACTTCTGGTGGGTCCTCGCCCTCAGCACTCCTGTCCCTGGGCCTCCTGCGGTGTCCTCACCGTCCGATTAGCCTTATTGTATAATGCTTCGGACTCATCGTGAGAACCCAGTGACTAACACGGCGCGTCTGTAAGGTTTCCCCAGAGGGCTTGCAATCCACTGAAGTATCCGTTTCCCTTTGCTTCTTAGCATCAAGGTTTGGGACCTGCCTCAGCAGATGGTGCTGAACTCGTACCGGGGTGAGTGCCCACTCTTCCTTCCCAGCCCTGGCCTTAGCTGTGTCATTCTTATTTTTCGCATTGGGCGCCCTGGACTTGGCTTGGATGTCAGTCAGGGGCAGCAGCCCCCGCTCTCCTGCCTGATGGCTCTCTTCCACAGGCGTCCGTCCCTTGCCCTTTCCCTTAACTCCCTGCCTCTGTTGATGGCCTCACCCCCTTCTCGGCCACCTGGGGCTCTCAGTCGCAGTCACCTTCCCCTCCCCTGCTTCCCGCTCTCAGTCGATCACCGCGTTCCTGTGCGCCTTGTTCCATGTGGCAGTGACCTCCCTCCCATTGCTCGTGCTCCCACTTGCTTCTAGGCCTCACCTCACACAGACAGACGGTGGCACTCTCGGCTCTGGACTTGTCCCCTCTGCTCTGCCACTGGTTCCTTGTGGCTTGCAGACCAAAGTCCCACTGTCCTGTCACGGCCTTCGAGCCCTTTCACCATCACCGCCCCTTCAGGCATTGCGCCGTAGCTAAACCCAGCCCCAGCAGATCCTTGGCCTTCTCCAAGTAGGAGCCTTGAGGCTTAGGAATCTGTCCTGTTTCTCAACATTCCCATCCTTAGACTGACGGAGATAAGTCGGGTGTGGGAGGGGCAAGGTGGCCCCCTCCCTGAATTTTACCTGAGGGCTCTGTCCTTGCTCTGCGGCTCTCGGGGAGAAGCCCCCTTTGTGTCGCACGTTTGCTGGTCACACCGCCGAGCACTGTACCGCGGTGAGCTTTGGGACACAGCTGCGTGTTCCTTCTGTGACGGGGGAGAAGGTGTCTGCGGAGGGAGAGGCGGGGAAGAGCCCGGAGAGACTGCAGGCAGCTCCTCAGTCACTGTCAGGAAGGAGGACGTTCAGGAGGGCGACACCCCTAACACCTTGGTGCCCAGAACCCCGCTGAGGCGTGCCCTGCGGGGTGGAGGTTACTGCAGCACAGTGGGGGCCAGCTACGAGTTCCCTCCCTCTTCTTCTTCAGCCCCTGATTTCTCTTGCATCATCTGTGCTAATTGGATTTTTTCCCTAAGCCTTTTCAGGTTTTATAACTCCATCACCATTTCCTCTGAGGTTTGGTCTAATTCAGTATCTCATGAAATGTAGTAAATGGCAGCTGGAGACCAGGCCTGTCGCTCACACCCTCCCTCTGCCCCCTGCGTGGGGGGTGGGGGGGGCACCTCCAGCTTCTCCTGTGTCAGAGTCCCCTCCTCTCTCCTCCGCAGCTCACTCGGGGCAGGTCACCCGTGTCGCCGCCTCTCCCCACCAGGATTCGGTGTTTCTCTCGTGCAGCGAGGTGAGACACGGCCTCCACCTCCCTCCCCGCTCCCCACCACTCTCCAGCCCTTAGGCCAGTGTCCAGTGTGGCAACCCCCTGACCCGCAGCTGCTGCTTTGGGTCTGAAGCCCCCTTTCTGCTCCTCTGCTCCCAGGACAGTCGGATTCTGCTCTGGGATACCCGCTGCCCCAAGCCGGCGTCGCAGATGGGTGAGTCTGAGAGCCGGTGTGGGCGGGCGGTACCGCCAACCCGCCCGGAAGGGGCTTGCCTTGGACCGGGTCGGAGGACAAGCTACCGAATGCCCCGCTGCTGTGGCCTGAGTTACACGATTGCTTTCTTTGCCGCTGAGGCTCTGCTGACCCCGTTTTGTGCAGCGGGCACCATGGGGGAGGGCTGGGTCCTGGGTGGGCGACTTAATTCCCCTTTCCTGGAAGGGTCAGCACAGGGGCCAGAGCTGATATCTTCGTGCCGTGTGCTCGAAACCTGCCTGTGACTTGTGTCCGGAGAGGGCAGGAGGCTGGTGGCCCAGTGAGGTTGTGAGGGCCGAGGAGGCGGAGGGCACGGCTGCCTGGGCGGGCTGGGGGGGCCCGAGTGCAGCGCTCCTGGAACTCAGCGGGGCTCCATCCGGGAGGCTGCCTCTCGGGGCGGGCTCCGGGTCTCTCCCTGACCCCTTCTTTGTCCTCTGCAGGCTGCAGTGCCTCTGGCCACCTTCCTACCGCCCTGGCTTGGCATCCTCAGCAGAGCGAAGTCTTCGTCTTTGGTGAGGGCGACAAAGGAGCCGTGTGGGGACTCTGGGGAGGGGAGGGGGGAAGGGGCAGTGCCAGCTCCACACCCGCGAGGCTCCGGCAGCTCCATCCTCGGCGCCCCTGGGCACCGATGGCTTATGCTGATGGGGGGCTGGGAGGGGTGGGGACCCAAAAGTGGTTTCAGTTTAGCTTTGGGCAACATGATGATTTTTTCCCCGGGGGATGTGAGTCCCGATTGTTGGTTCTGGTTCTGGTATCCTGGACATGGCTGGGAGTCAGTGGGCCCCAGAGCACACGGATTACTCACTATGCAGCAGGTCCTCAAGTGATGTCATTTCACTCAACGTCCTTTCGTTACAATGTTGATGGGACATCCTAGGAAGTAACTCTGGTATCAGTTCCGCCTGCAGTCAAGTTGGTTTCCTTGTATGTTGTTTCCCTTAGACTCACACAATCGGACCACGTTAGTGAGGACTTACCGTGTAGGGGGTTTCGTTACACTGTGGGTAGTTGTAGTGCTGTGCTGGTGACGTGGTTTGTGGTTAAAACAACCACTTCATCATCCATTGACTGAATTCCCACGGCCGCCAGCGACTGCTCGTCCCCACTCACCCAGAGAGGAAACCGGTCCTCAGCCGGCTGACTTGTCCAGCCTCGAGGGACGGGCATTCGGGTCCGGGCCCAGCTGCCCCCGGGGCCCCGCCCTCCCCCCCTGTGACGCGCCCTGTCTTCTCTGTAGGTGATGAGAACGGCACCGTCTCCCTCGTGGACACCAAGAGTGCGGGCTGCGCCCTCAGCTCGGCGGTGCACTCCCAGTGCGTCACGGGGCTGGTGTTCTCCCCACACAGGTACTGTCCTTTGTCACCAGGGCCTGCTGGGCGTGAACGGGCCCCTCGAGGGGGCAGGGTCACTCTGGCCAAGGCCTAGCCGAGTGGGTTTGCTCTCCTGAGGATTCAGAGTGTCCGCCGTCTGGCACCCTTTGTTGGGTGGTGCGGTCCTTGTCTGCCGTGGCTGACACCCTGCTCAGCGCCCAGATTGGTCAATACTGTGGGGACAGTGCAGTTGAAAAGCCCGTGTGTGTGGGTGGTGGCTGGAGCTGCGGGGGTGGGGCCGGGCGGGACGGTTAGTCGCAGGCTGCGTGTCACCCAGGGCTCCCCTCTGTTTCCCTCGTCTCTGCGTGGGCCCTGTGACGGGGACCCGAGGAGCAGCCAGACCTTAGCCCGACGTGGGGGTCGGGCTGGGGGCTGCCATGCAGGGTGTGTCCGGGGTCCCATGGGCTGCACCTTTCACAACCCTCTCCTTCCTGTCCTAGCGCCCCCCTGCTGGCATCTGTCAGCGAGGACTGCTCCCTCGCCCTGCTGGACTCGAGCCTGTCCGAGGTGTAAGTGCAAGGGGGAGCTGGGGAGAGGGGCGGCGGGTGGCCGGCTCCTTCCTCTCCTGCAGAAAAGTGCATTGTCTTCCTTCAAGGGGACTGGGTGAAGGCCACCACTCTGCTCCTGGGGCCGGCGCTCAACCGGCTCTGTCCCTGGGTAGAGGAGGAAGGTGGCGGCGGGTGGGATTCTAGGGCTGGCATTCTGTCTCCCGGAGGGCGGGCTGCCCTTTCTGCAGAGAGAACCACAGCGGATGCAGCCTGTTGGGGGGACAGGCGCCCCACAGAATATCTGAAGTGTGCTTGCTGCTTGGCCTCGATGTGCCGTCTGATCTGGGCTGCCCACACCCCTGCCCGTGCTGGAGTCGCCCGAGTCTGGGGCAGTAGGGATGGAGGAGACCCTGGAGGGTAGCCACGCTGCTCTCCTGCCGGCAGCCCCACACCCAGGGGGGCGTGGGTGTGTCGGGTTCTCCTCCCCAAGTCGGTTTTCCCTCCTGCCCCCTACCGCACTCAGACTCTCCTGTTCCAGGTTCCGAAGTCGAGCCCACAGAGACTTCGTGAGGGACGTCACGTGGTCTCCACTCAACCACTCCCTCCTGACCACCGTGGGCTGGGACCACCGGGTCATCCACCACGTGGTGCTCACGGATCCTCCCCCAGCCCCGGGGCCTAACAGTGTCGCTGAGTAGGCCGGGTTGAAGACAAAAGGCAGATCCCCCAGAGTAGCCTCGCCCTTTGCCCCTGCCCCTCAGCTTGTGAGGCCGTGCGGAGGCCTCCGCGGCAGGCTGACGCCCGGATCTGGGCATCACTGGGCGTGTCTCCCAGCCGGGGGGTGTCTGGGTGCTGGGATCCTGTAGGCGCGGGGAAGAAAACCTTCCTGGAAGATGGGTTGGTTTGTACGTCTGAGTGTGTGTGTGTGTGTGTGTGTGTGTAGTTTTTGGTTGTAGGGGGGATAAGAAGTCCATCCCACATTGTTCCTGGGGCTCACCCTCCCCACCACCCTAAAACAGAGTTCACAAAAGGGTTTTGTGCTTCCCATGTGGCTGTGCGTGAGGAATTGGCCACAACCGGGTGGCATGTGGGATGTGGGCATTCCTGGACCGGAGGACGCAGCTCGCAGGCCACTCATGGACATCGGAGCGTTTTAGTAGACTGATCCACCGCGGGCGTGGGCGGGGCCCCGTTCACGGAAATCCACCCCGCTCACCCTGAGGGAGAGCCGCATCGCTCACCACGGTTCTGCACATCTTGCCATTGAACTGACTCAGAAATCCACTTTCTGGCCCAATAAAATGTGACTGGTGCCTGTGTGATGCCTCCCCGCCTCCCATGGAGTTGTGTACGTGCGGGATGAGTGTCTTTCTGTCTCAGATGCCACGAGGTGGCGGGGGGAGTTTGGGGTGCAGGGGAGGGCTTAGCGTTTCAGTGAAGGTAAAGCCGGACCAGACGTGCAGAGGAACGCCACTTTCCTTACCTGCACGCAGCCTGGGGCTCACCTCTCCTGCCTCCAGACCCCCTTCTGTGGATGCGGGGCGTCTGAAAACTGTGGGGGGGGAGGCGCGGAAGCCTTGAATTACAGCATCAGAAAGAGGACCGGAAATACTGGCCCGTGAATAAAACATTCAGGCCTTGCTGGCCTGCCCTTTGAAGCGTGTCTTCTGTACGGTTAGACATACTTCCCTTGTCAGGGTGTCAGTCGTGCAACCCCTCCCCCCCTTTCTTTTTACTTCCCAGCCCCCCAGAGTAGCTGGTTGGAACTTAAGGTAAACACTGGGTTCCTCAGGTTGGTGGACCGGCTACCCCTGCCAATTAGAAGTCAAGGATCAGTTACCGAGTGTATCAGCACTAAATATAATCAGTATGTGCTTTGCAAGTTTAGTGTAGCTACACTCACTCAAAAATGGGGCATTTGGAGGAAATACAGACACAATGTTTTAAGTAAAGCTTCCTTTGCCAAGCTCCACCTGTCTCCCAGTCCCCTCCAGGGAAAATCCATGGGGACTGTGGTCATGTGACCTACCAGGTTCCAGGTGAGATGGGAACAAAGCTCTGTTCTTAAGTGTAAACAGAGTGAGTTGGTAGAAACCCTTAAGTTCTTCCCAGAAGTAAAAGCTTAAAATTTGTGATCATTTAGAGATAGCGAGGCCAGGGGTGAGGACTTGGAGTGGCAGAGAGAACAGGTGTAACAGGTTAAGAGCCCCAGGGAAGGTAGGTCTGGGTTAAGGTGGTTAAAGTGACATCAGAGAAGGGAAACATCAGAGAAGGGACAGTCGCATTGCTGTTGCACACAGTTTGGGCTCGGATCTGGGCCCGTGAGAGCAAGTTGCATCTGCCATCAGCACCGCCACAGTCACCCGGGCTCTGCCCGCTCTGTCTTCCGTCCTTGTTTCCTCCGAGCGGCATGTTCGAAAGGGCAGGAAATTGGGGGGTGGAACGGGGGCAGGTGGGGGCGCCCCTGTAGTTTCATTTATCTTCAGAGGGCCCCGGAACAGGCCACAGCTAGACCTGGGAGTGAAGGCTGCGGTTTTCAGAAGGCAGGGTCTTGCTGACTTCGAACAGCACGGATACTGTGCCTTTCGCATTTGTGTGTCAGTAGTGGCGTGACTTAGTAACTGCATCTACAAACAGAAGATTTGTCCCAAAGTGTGCTTGCCTAAGTATTTCAGGAAGGCATGCACTGGGTGCCTTGATGTGCTCTGGGGAAGCTCAGGGGCACCGGAGGAAAGCCGGCGTGTGGGGCAGATGCGGGGAGTTCACGACCAGTTACCTCTCATAGTGGGTTTCTCACTGCCCCTCTGAGTCACACAACACGCAGTCACTTGTGCAGCAAACTGCATTTGGAAGAAAGGTAGGCTCACTCTGGTCTCAGTTTTGAGTTAATTGTCTCAAACAGCAGCAGCCCATACAGCAGGGTTGCGGGGGGGGAGTCAAGTGAGCAGACCAGTCTTGGGCCCAAAACATATTTTCTTGAGTTCTCCATCAAAAATGGGCCACCAGGAAGTTTTTCATCATTATTCATGACATGAATTCACAACACGGTCCCATTACTAGTGCAAACCAGAGAGACAGAGCTGTGCCCATCAGGAGAGGAGGGGTTAATCTGTCCTAAGAGACAGTGCAACCCAGGACCCTGCAGTGCCCTTTGGTTGTCTGGAGTAAGGGTTAGTGTAGTGCTCAACGTATTCCAGAGACTCTCCTGTCTCATAAATAATGTCCTGCAGCTTCGAGGTGAAATACATCATTAAACTTCAAAAGATCTGTATGTAAAGAGATAAATCTCCAAACAACATCCTTTAGCTTCCGGGTGGGTGCCCGGCCAGTGCCTTTGGTTGGAAGCCCCTTCAGCAAACACAGACATCTCGCCTGTCCCTTCCACGTTGGGTGCCAGGCTCCGAGGAAGCGCACCCCTTTGGGCGGCACCATGGTACAAGCATTAGGAACGTCACGCTGACCTTCTCCATTTCAGCGGGAACCCTCAGCTGGGGACGGTAATGAATGACGCACGCTTGGACACAGTACTTACCTCTACCACTTTGTTAACATAGTCTTTTTTGAACTGCCTCAGTTTTTAAACTTCAATGATATCCGGGAAATGATGGCTGTTTGGGTAAGATACATTTTTAATGCACATTAAAATAAACATACATTTTTAAATTTGTAAAAATCCTTATGCACAACCAAAAGCCATCTTTTGTGTTAAATATTAGGGAAAAACACTGCCCTAGTGTATTTCCTCCGTGTCAAAGGTGAGGGCAAACCTGGGAGTTTACACCGATCTGTAGATCTGTAGTCAGCACCCTGCACTCCCACACCGTCAACCAGCTGATTTTGTTAATCGTACTTCTCCAGTTCCTTCAACATACTCATGAGAGATTCGGTCGGAATCTTTCACCCTCACTCCTGAGTTAAAATTTCTCAAACACCAGCAGCCCATACAGCAGGGTTTTGGAAAAGTCAAGTGAGCAGACCAACCTTGGAGACCCAAAACACATTTTCTGGGATTCTCCAGCAAAAGTGGGCACTTACGGAGAGCTAGTTTACCTCTTCCAAGTCCTACCAAAGGGTCTGGTGGAGACCACCACGCCGCCGTCTAGCTGAGTGCGGGGAAATACGGAAGAGGCCGCACTGGTGCGGGGATTTGGGAAGCCACCCACGAGGCATTTGTAAATTTCTTCCCGTTCGGTGAGAACAGGCTGAGCCCCGGAGAGGAGGAGTGCTTTTAGGATCCGGGTGGGGGTGCACAGACAAAAAGCAGTGGCTGCATTTTCTGACAGCAAGAACTCTCGGGGGAGGGGGCGAGGACCGAGAACAAACAGAGCGATGTGGCACACTGATTCCCAACACCCGCCTCCCTCGACATCCCACTATTCATCATCTGCGGCGCACAGAGCCGGAGCTGCCACCTCTCGGGCTCGGCCGTCCCTGAGTGAAGCAGAGCTCACTCCCGGGCATCCATTGTGATCGCTTGGCACTCCTCTCCGCATTACCGGTCACTTTTGTAGGGATGAAATGGTGAGGTTTGCGATCTTGCCTTGCCCGCTGCAGCAGAATAGGAGCCCGGAGGAGTGACCCAAGTGCAGATGAATGAGGTTCAGATAAGCGAACTTGGCTCTGAGATGGGTACAGTGTTCTAGCCAGCGCCCCTGGCAGGAGCCTGGCTAGGAGGGCACAGACCCAGTGGGAAATCTCAGCGATGTGGAGTCTGGGGAGCAGGCCTGGGGTGAGGGGAGGCTCAGGAGGAGAGAGAGGCAGGCACTGCACCTCAAGGGGGTCTTCAGACACAGCCGGCAAGGCCCCGGAAGCCCGGTGAGACCGAGTCGGGCCCCAGGCCCTAGGAATCAACTGTACAGCACATGGGACAGGAAGGGGAATCAAAGCAGAGAGCCGGTAACAAGAATCAGGGCCCCTGGGCTAGAAACTGGGCCACAGCTAAGAGCAAGGTCGTCAGAGTCAGAAGCTACACACAAGGGGTAATCTAACCCAATGGTGCCAATGTCGCCAAGCCCGATCCACTGCTGTTCCCAGGAGGCTGCATTACCTCCCCGCTCAGGTTCGCACTGACCCAAGGGATGGAGGGTGGCGCTGAGGGGGCAGGCGGGGCTCATGTGTTCCCCGCTGCACCCACCCAAGAGGGATGAGAGTCACCCTCTTCTCCCAGAGAGAACCGCACACGGGGTCCATCTGCTCACTGGACCGGAGCTCCCTAACGGGCAGGGACTGTGTCTCGATCTCCATGGAATCAGACATGGCAGGAGCGCCTAGCGGGCCGGGCACCTGCCCGAGGAGTATTTGCGGAGCAGGTGGAGGAGACACAGCCTCTGCTGGGCGGGCATTGCACGAGGCTTTCCCAGCCTCAGCGCAACACCCTCGCCCGAAACGTCCCGTCCCGTCCCGTCCATCGATCTCGTTCTGTGACACCCAAGCAAACTGCTGATGAAAAGGTTGCTTCTGCTGGTTTCTTCACACCGGAAGGGAAGCAAATTCAACTGCTAGGCAGTGTTATTTTTCTGTCTCATTCACTCTGTTGGCATCTGGTTAGTACCTCGGGGACATGGATTTGGTGACTGTGTCAGTCTCTGGGGATGGACACTGAGCACAACTGACTTTGGGTGCCCCCCGCCCTCCCGAGATTCAGGTCCTGAACTCTGGGACCTACCCACGGCCTTTTTCTGTCGTGGGAAAAAGAAATGGAGGGACCGCAAAAGCACCTGGCCACCGATCTAATTCACTTTTCCTGTGGCTCTGTTGTAGTTTCAAAGTTCGGCTCTCAGGTACCCGAACTGCATTCATTGTATTCCTTCCGTGCATGGCACACGCTCGGCGTGGCCCCACACGCTGGCTCAGTCACTGTCGGCTCGGACAGAAATTCAGGCTTTTGTCTGTCTTCTCTTGAGACATCAAAGACTCTTCTTCCAACATGGGTCTATTTTACCACGCGGCTGCCCTCAGTGGCTACTGAGCCACGTCCCTGCTCCGGCCAGTCTCTGCTGTCTCCTGACCTGAGATGCTTCGTGTCAGCTGACGCGTGTCACTGGGCTCTGACTGTTATTCCTCCGGTAGCGTGGAGAGTGAGCTGCCTGGTCCTGTCCCTCCAGCCATTTCGAGCCCCTGCCTGGCGAGTGCCAGCGTCTGGGTGTGAGAACCCTGTGCTGCTGGGCAGCTCATTTGCCCCCCACCCAGTGGCCAGTGCCATTTACCGGGCCCTTAGGGGCTGCCAAGCACTGACCTAACACTTCTTAGATGTTACCTCTTTAACTCCTCTAAAAGCCTGTTGAGTGCTATGGGCGATTATTTCCATTTTACAAGGGTGGAAGCTGAAGCCCGAAGAGCTGAGGAACTTGCCCCAGACTGTGGAACTTCTCGTCGGTAGCGCTGAGACGCACGCTTAGGCCCGCCCGAGTCCCAAGCCGGGGCTTTAAAACTGTAACACGTTTCCCTCCACAGCAATCTCGTAACACTAGCAGTTCTGCTCCCATGCGGGGTTTCCCCTCCTATTCGGGCCGCGTGGGCCGAATGCCAGGAAGAGGGGCCAGCCCTTCCCTACCCTGCCCTGGCCACGGCCCGTGGGGACGCCCGCTCCAAGCCACTGTCTGCTGGAGGTTCTGCTCTGCTGGCTCTGGGAGCCAGAGAAGGGAGGACAGGAGGCGCTGGGGTCGCTCTGACCCTGGGGCAGCAGCCCATTAGTCACTGTCCTTGGCTGTGTGTGCGTGCACATGTGTTGCTGGGCCACCCCGGCGCTGTCCCACGGTGCTGTCACCTGGGGCAGCTCATATAAAGGGCCCTGGTCTCCAGCCTTGCAGCCCTCAGACCTTGGAGATGGGGAGACTGCTGCTGTGGGTTGGTGAGTGTGTCCCTCAGTCCAGGCTTTGTAAGCTTGTCCTCCCTCTGGGCCCCGGGGTGCCCTGGATTAGACAGAGGTGGGGCGGGGCCGGAGGGGCTCGGGGAGGAGTGAGGAGAGCAGTGGTTCCCTAACCTGGCTGCGCGTGGAACATTCTTAGGTTTGGTTTCCACCTCAGACCAGAGAAGTCAGAACCTCTGTGGGCAGGAGCCAGGATACCACTGCTTTCCTATTTGTAGCTGGGTGGAGGACCACTGGCCCAGGGCTTTGGCTGGGACTTCTGGTCGCCCCTGAGCACAGCATGTGTGTGTGCACATGGGGTTTATTGGAGTGCAAAGGAGCTTGGATAGGTCTGGTTGCACTGACTCAGCCTAGAGATGAAGAAACAAGTGGACAGGGCGTGAGTCTCCATTGGCGTGTCTGCGTCTGCTATGGTGCTGGGTCGGTGGGTCCCTAGAGGGCTGGGGGGGCATGTCACCCACTCTGGGCACCCGCCGAATCTGTGAGTGATGGCCTCCTTCGTTTCCTGCAGGGCTGGCCCTTGCGCTGCAGCACCACGGCGGTAAGGACGCTGTGCCCCCCACTCCAGAGCCAGGCCGACTCTCCGGCTGGGCAGTGCCCTGCATCCTCGCCCTGCCTTGGCCCTGGGTCAGGGGTCGCTGGTCCCGTACAGTTCAGCAGAGGCTTCTCAGTCACCTGCTGTTGGTGGCACTCTCTGTGTGCTGGGATCCAGGCCCGAGGACCCATTCTGACCAGGAGTTCTAGGCATTCTTTTCCTTCTGGGACCTCAGCAGCAGGGGACCTCAGCATAGCACTGGGGGGCAGGGGTGAGGGGTGATAGTACAGTGGCCTGTCCTCTCGGGCTGTGTCCACACTGCTGTCTGGAAGCTGAGCTCCATCCCGTCCCTTGGCCTCTGCCAGCTGACGCGTGCTCTCCCTTGCCAGGTGCTGCCCACAAACTGGTGTGTTATTTCACCAACTGGGCACACAGCCGGCCTGGCCTGGCCTCGATCTGGCCCCGTGACCTGGACCCCTTTCTCTGCACCCACCTGGTATTCGCCTTTGCCTCAATGAACGACAATCAGCTGGTGGCCAAGGACCTCCAGGATGAGAAAATTCTCTACCCGGAGTTCAACAAGCTCAAGGAGAGGTGTGTCTGCATTGAACGTGGGGGTCACATTTTCAGGCTTCACAGATGGAAGAGAATCAAGGCTTTTCTCCTGTTCCTCCCCAGTGTTCCTCTGATTCTTCGGGTCCCAGCCTCCCCTCAGGCAGGACTCGGGAGCATCCCAGGAGTTGGGAACTCCCTGCTGACAGACGCCCTGAACTCCTTGCCCTCTCTCTTTGTGGTTGCTGATGCTTCTCCCTGGAATGTCCTTCTCCCTCTTCTCGGCCTGCCTGCCCCTAACTCACCCTTCAAGGCCAGTGGTGAGGATTTCACGCATTGTGCTAAAGTGCTTCAGAGAGGGCCTGCCCATCACAGATGCCTCACAAATGCTGGCGTTTTTATTGCCACTTGTCACCTGCAACCCCCAGCTGTGAACCCCCAAGGGAAGGGGCGGGGTCTGCTCTGTCTTTGTCTCCCAGCGGCTAGGTCAGTGCCTGGCGCAGCGCTGGCGCTCCGTGAGTGCTGTGTGAGCATTCCTTCCTGCACAACTCCTGGGTTCTCTCTCTCTGTGCCTGCGTGGATGGTCACAGGCGAGCAGACAGGAAAACCCGTGTCATTAGATTACAAGGCCCCTGTGAGTAGGGAACAGCTTGAGTGTCGTGCTCGCTGTCGAATTTCAAGCACCGAAAGCACTCCATGGCACATAGTAATCGCTCAGTGAATATTTGTTGATTAAGAAAACGAGTGAAGAGAGACATTTCAGCCTACGTTTTCCTTTTCACGGGGACAGTATGGGGACGGGGGGAACTTGGGCGGACTTTGGGCAGCCTGGGGCTTCCTGGGGGGTGACGCCTGTGGGTTGATCTCTCCCCTCTTCTCCTTTGCGCCCCTTTCCTGTGCTCTGCTCTGCTCCTTCCCTCCCACCGCCCACTTCCCATTGGCCCCCCGAATGAATGACGGGAACAGCGGAGACTGCAGCCGCCCACTGGCGCGTGCACCCAGCTGATTGACTCTCTCCCGCATCGCAGGAACCGGGGGTTGAAAACTCTGCTGTCCGTCGGAGGCTGGAACTTCGGCACGTCCAGGTGAGGCGGTGCGGCTCCATCTTCTCTCTGGGGTGCGGGGGGTGGCAGGTGGGAGGGTGCAGCAGGCGGGCTGGAAGTGAGGACAGGGAGGGGAAGCCAGCCTGGCTGCGGAGAGAAAACTAGTGCAGACCCTCGCCCCCAGGCCCCCCTCCCCGCTCCTGTCCTGACCTGGCCCTGGACTCAAGGGCCCCCCCGCCTCCCCTCTGTGGCGAGGGAGAGGGACAGGGAACTTCCAGCCGGGTATGAGAAAGGGGGTGGGGGGAAATGAGGGACAAAATGGGGCCTCACCATTGTCTCCGCAACCCTTCCTAGGAGGTAGGGGTCCTGTTTAGGATGAGAAGAAGAAACCCCAAACCTCACAGGTCCTGGGTTTCCTCACTTTATAAATGGGTATTTATAACTATCCACCTCGCCCTGGAGGAAGGAGCTTCAGGGGAGGGCAACCTGGTGGCCTGGGATTGCACGGCTGTTTCTGTGCAGGACAGTGGAGGGAGGATGGGCTGTGGGTAAGAGCTGGCTCCGCCCACCCCAGGCCCCACCCCAGGCCCCGCCCCTCCGGGGCCCCTGATTGCTGGCTGTGTGCAGAGGGCTGCATGCAGACACCTGTGTGCAGACACTTGTGTGCAGAGGAGGGCCTGGGGGCTTTACACACACCATCTCGTGGGTACTCGGAAGAGGCTCACAGAGGGCTTCTTTGCATTGCACATTTGCAGAAGAGAAAGCAGGAATGAGAGGCATTAGGGAACTTGCCACATTGCACACAGGTGTCCCTCTGCGACCACCCACCTGGGAGGTGGCAGACAGGTCAGGGACCCCGGTCTGCCTCACCCTGAACCTGGTGAGGTGTCTAATCCCTGCACATAGAATTAGCCGAGCATAGCTTCCAGTTCAACTTCAATTAATTACACATTTTCCAGTAATGTAGAAAAAAAATCAAACAGCTGACGAATCAAAGAGCAAAGAGGCCAGAACCCCTATCAGAGCCCGGGCCTCTTACACCTCATCTTGCAGCCCCGGCCCAGATTAGCTCAGACAGCTTTGAGGAAATGCTGGCCCTCGGCGGGGGTTCCCTCCCTTAGTTCGGTCAGGGACAGAGTGTCAGCGCCCAGACAAGTGAAGGGGCCATGCAGGCAGAGTGCCTGGCCGGTGGGCCCCGTGTTCCTGCCGCCGTTGAGACGGAGCCCGCCTCCCACGCCAGGCTGGGGCTTATTGGTGCCCCCGCCCAGAGCCAGGTCAAGGTTTCTGTACCTCCTCCCCGCTGCCCCGATACCCCATTCCTGGGTACTCGGCCCCCAGTGCTGGGAGCGAATCTAACAAGGGTCTGAGAGTTTCAAAGACCCGCCTTCCTCTCCTCCAGCCACATCCTGGTGCTCTTCACGGGATGAGGACCCAGGGGCCCTGCGGGAGGTGGTGGTTCACAGAGAGCGCTCCTGGCCTCAGCCCGGGTCTCCCTGCAGGTTCACCCATATGCTGTCCACACCCGCCACCCGGGGGAGGTTTATCAGTTCAGCTATATCCCTCCTGAGGACACACGGCTTCGATGGTCTGGACCTCTGCTTCTTGTACCCGGGACTGAGAGGCAGCCCCACGCACGACCGGTGGAATTTTCTCTTCTTAATTCAAGTAAGCCCCGTCTGGCAGCTCCCGGGTCTGGAAATGATTCTACTTCTATCGTATATGGGCTCGTGGCATGGGAAGAGCAAGCAGGAGGCCAAGGGCAAGGGCAGGAGAGAGTGGTAACAGAATGTTCTTTTCCTGCCATCAGCCTAGAGGTGTTGGGCCAAAGAGCTGCTGAGCAGGTGTCCTGGGGTAGCTTGTTCTCTGTCGTGTGCAGGTCCTGCTCCAGGCCTCCAGCTAAGCGGTGCCCTCTCTGGGCAGCTTCCTGGACACCCAAAGGCAGGCGGTCTGCACCCTCTGCTCCTGACCCTGCCTGCCCCCCCCTCTTAAATCGCTGACCACATTGGCTCATGCCTGCCTTTCTGAAGGGCCCGTGGGCAGGGCCTGAGTCAGGGCCTGAGTCTGGCTCGCCTTCACGTTTCCAGAGCCTGGCTCAAGGGGCTCTGCGAATGAAGGGGTCCTGGAGGGCGCCCCTCTCCCTGATTGTGCCGTCTGGCTGCCTCTCGTCCCCCCAGGAACTGCTGTCGGCCTTCCAGAAGGAGGCCCAGCTCACCTCGCGCCCGAGGCTGCTGCTGTCTGCGGCTGTCTCCGGGGACCCGCACGTCATCCAAACAGCGTACGATGTGCCCCAACTAGGAAGGTGAGTGGGGGCCGCCTCGGAGGTCAGAAGGCAGGATGTCTCTCACGCTCAGAACCCCAGAGCTGCCCAGACCCTGCCCTAGAGCCTCCTGCGTGCCTCCCTTGGAGGGGGTGGGCTGAGGAGCATGGTGGGGACACGGACGGGATCCCTGAGACCCCAGGCTTTCTTTAGGGGTCAGAGGGAGGGGAGGCAGCGCCAGTCCCCACAACACCGTCCCGGGTAGGATCTCCTGCGTAGCCCACCACCAGGCCTCCCAGGGGGTGGCCCATGGGCCCGGCCTCTGCCGTCCCAGACTCCATCTGCGGACATCTGCCATTTGGCAGGTGACCGACATTGAGAGGCAGCTGAATCACCAATCACTGGCACATAATCTGGCACAGAAATTCCCAGTCGGGCCCAGTGTTCAGGGTTCGGGAACCCTGCAAAAGTTCCAAAGCCAGACAATGAAGAGCTCATAACTCCTCCTGGCCAGGCTGGCTCTGCACTAATTTGCTCGAATTTCAAGAATTAAGTATTTACAAGCCCTGGCTGGCGTAGCTCAGTAGATTGAGCACGGGCTGTGAACCAGTGTCGCAGGTTCGATTCCCAGTCAGGCCACATACCTGGGTTGCAGGCCACGGCCCCCAGCAACCGCACATTGATGTTTCTCTCTCTCTCTCTTTCTCTCTCCCTTCCCTCTCTAAAAATAAATAAATAAAATCTTAAAAAAAAAAAGAATTAAGTATTTACAGACGGATGCCGGCCGAGCAAAGACAGGACGGGGGGGCGGGGGGGGCGCGCCTGTGTGTGGTTACGCCAGGGAGAGGGGTTTCAGTGTGAGCGGGAGGGGAAGAGGCCCCGTGGGGTGGGGCAGGGGGGTCCTGCCTTCCCCCACCTGGGGGACCTTAGGCCAGTCAGTTCACCCGGCCAGGTCTCAGTTTCTGCAGCTTTAACACGGAGACAGCTGCGGTACTCAGGGTATTGGCCGGATTGAAATTAAATGAGATAATCCATGGAAACTCGAGTTCCAGTGACCTGGTAAGTGCGGTACACCTCGTCACTGTGACAGCTTCCTGGATGACGGGGGTTTCGATGGTCCCTTGAGTGGCAGACGACAGAAGCTCTTTGACTGTGGAGGGACAGTGCCGCTTTGCTCCTGACAACGTGTGCACACCTCTGGAGGGCCTTGGTGTTCTAGTGTGGCGCCTCCCTGTTTCCATGGATACGCTCAGGGTGGCGCAGGTCCTGAGACGCAGGTGTGCCTAACCAGCAGTCTGCTCTGGTGGCAGCATCTAAAGTGGATGGCACAGCTGGGCCGGCCCCTCAGGCAGAAACGGCAGGGGAGCTTGGGTGGCCAGCACACAGCTAGTTAGCTAGTTAGCTAGTCATCTAGTTAGCACTGTGATGAGCCGACTAGCCAGCCCACACTTTCTACCTATGCCCTCCTCCCGCCCTTTACAGACTCCTGGACTTCATCAGCGTCTTGACGTACGACTTACACGGAAGCTGGGAAAAGTTCACAGGACACAACAGCCCCCTGTTCTCTCAGCTCGGAGACCCCAAATCTTCGGTGAGAGAGGGACGCTCCCAGAGGCAGCCCGGACATCTGCCCCCAAGCCCGCGCCGCAGTGACAGGAGGGGTCTGTTCTTCCTCTGTGCAGGCATATGCCATGAACTCCTGGCGAGAGTCGGGGGCCCCCTCGGAGAAGCTGCTCATGGGGTTCCCCACCTACGGACGGACGTTTCACCTCCGCCAGGCCTCTGAGAACTGGCTGCGGGCCAAAGCTGTGGGGCCTGCGGCTCCGGGGAAGTACACCAAGCAGCCCGGCTTCTTGGCTTATTTCGAGGTGACAGGAACAGGGACCTCGGTCGGTTGGTTAAGGCCCCCCCACCTGTAGCTGGGCCAGAGAGCAAGGTCAGGGGCAAAGGCAAGGGTGAGGGCTGGAGACGGGGCCGAGAAGTAGTTTGCTGGGCAGGGGAAATCCATTCTCTGGGGCAGTTCCTTTTTCTTCAGGGGAAGTTATGTGAGTCCTTTGCAAGGGCTGAGGGGCTAGATGGGATCTGAATAAAGGGGGACTGATATTCTACCCCTCGAAAGACTTCAATGTCATACTAGTCAATCCTGACTTACTATACAGCCTAAATGGAAATAGTTAATATTTGCTCTATGTATACATATATATAATTGTAAACATTTGCAAAAGTAATAGTACCATCTCCTCTCCCCTCCCCCAGTGCCGCCCCTCCACCCGCCTCATTCATTCACCTCTCCTGGCCGACCTTGTCCCACCTCTAGTCCCTGGCCCTCTCCCTCCCCACCACGAGATTGTTTTGAGGCAATTCCGAAACAATCTGTACCACGGATTCTTTCTCCTCTACCCCAATTCTACGTCCTTCACCCCAGTCTCAGCACAGCTTGCGATTTTTGTGGAGGAAAGACACAAGGCACCAAGGCGATGTAACGCCCGGGAGTAGACAGTGAGAGGCCCAGGGGGGCGGCGGTCGGGGCTGGAAGGTCTTCTGGAGCAGGCAGCTGCTGAGCAGAGCTCCGAAGCGCAGCAGGGCCCTGATGGGCGGGCGGGAGCGGGAAGACGGGAAGGCCCTCTCAGGCGGAGGGCAGCAGGCGCAAAGGTAGGCGGGGCGTAGGGGTGCCAGGGGGAGGGGCCAGCGTCTTTCTAATCTTTGCTCCGCGCTGACCTGCAGGGACGTTTTCCTGCTAATGCAGTGACGCATCGCGATGAATGAAAACATCGCGATGAATAAGAATGTAGTGAAATAATGTCCTTGGAGGGCATTATGGGTCAAAGAGATTTTGAAAGAACTTTTAAAGAACCATCAAACCCCACAAAGACTTAGATACTAACTTCTGCACCCAGCTCAAATACCTCCGCTTGCAGGGAGACGCCGCCCCCGGATGCGTGATCGATTGCCATGACCTACTTCTCTTTGCCTTCGGGAACTTGAAATTCCTTAGATTCAAAAGCTAGTTCGACAAGTCCCTAGATGGGGCAGTTCACACCAACTGCTAATGAACAGAGAGATTTGCTCATGAAAACTCTTTGGAAAAGACACAGGTTGGGTCCAGGGTCAAGTGTGCCACGGCGAGGACTTTGCTCTTGGCATTCTTTACGGAACCCAGGCTGGGTTTCCCACGGGAGTCACTCGCCCCCTGCTTCTTGCTGTCCTTTCCATCGTGGGCGCTGGAGGAAGCGATGCGGAGCAGGACGGTTTATTCAGAACGGAGGGAGGCTTTCCTGCAAGTGGCTCCCCCACTTCTGCTCGGGTCCCCCTTCCCCTCCCTCCCCGGTGCGGGGTTCCGGATGCTTCATTCCCGGACACGGGGCAGGGCGCCTGCGGCCGCTTCCCTCCATGGCCCTCCGCAGAACTAACCCAGATCCTCCGGGCAGGTGTGCTCCTTCCTCCAGGGGGCGCGGAAGCTGTGGATCGACCACCAGTACGTCCCGTATGCCTACAAAGGGGAGGAGTGGCTTGGCTATGACGACCCCACCAGCTTCAGATACAAGGTGAGCCCTCAGTTCTTCTCGATCCAGCCTATAGCTTCCCCCTGGCTACCACGAGGCCCTTGTCTGCACTGGGGTGGGGCGGGGGGGGGGGTGCGTGTGTGCTGAGTAGAGGGCGAAAAGGCAGGCACGTGTGAGTTTCAGGCGTACCCGAACTACACAAGGTCTCCTAAACCCACCCGGTCCAGCCCTCTTATTTGGAAGAGGAGAAGTCTCGGTGGGTCAAGATCCCACAGCTGGTGAGTGGTAGAGGCTAGGTTCTGACACAGGCTGTCCTCCTGACCCTCCTGCCGCATTGCCTTCTGGGAGTCCGTCTTCTGTTCTGGGCCAGGGGGCCTGTCCGAGGGTGGCCAGGACAGCAGATTGACGGACCACTCCCCCTTCAGGCATCGTATATAAAGAGAGAGCACTTCGGGGGGGCCATGGTGTGGACCTTGGACCTGGACGACGTCAGGGGCGTGTTCTGCGGCGAGGGCCCTTTCCCCCTCGTCTGCGTGTTGCATCGCCTCCTGCGGCAGGCCGGTGAGTGGCTGTGACCTGGAAGCTGGGGTCGCGAGCTGTGTGAGCGGCTGCACTGGGCGTGCGTCAGATCTGAGGCTTTAGGGGACGCTGAGGGAAGGGGAGGAGCTTCGACGATTCCCAGGCCGATCTGTGCTCCCAGTTTGGGAGCGTGTCCTTTGCCCTCTCCGGGCCTGGCTTCCTGCGTCCGTCCTGCGGGAGCGGTCCTTAGACTCGGGACATGCTACGGCCACCAAACGAGATAGGGAAGGGAAACGGCAAGCTCATGGTGAGCGCTCAGTGAACGTTAGTTTATTCCTCCCGGTTTTTCTCTCCTGCCTTCATGGACCAAGGGCCAGAAAGAAAAATTACATTTCTTTTGATATCTGTTGGGCGCTGGAGACTCCCCCTGGCAGTTAGGCAGGGGGCCTGGCGCCCTGGAGCTGACGGTGTGCAGGGCTCACTGTGGGGGGGGAAGGGGAGAGGGGGCTCGGAACGGGAAGACAGCTGCCAGGGGGAGCCTGGACTGCACCCCGGTCTGTAAGAAACGCTGTCCGGAACAGCCTCCTCGGCCTGTGGCTCTTCCTAGTGTCTCCTACAATGGGGGGCGCGGTCGGTTTCGCCTTGAGGATTCAACAAGTAAGGAGTTGGGCCCTGGGGGCGCGGTCCTGCTGAAGGGGCCGTCACAGAGGCCAAAGTGGGGGCCTGAGGACAGAGGCCTGGCAGGCGCCTTCCTGGGTCCTTCACCGGGAGTGCGGCAAACCCACTGAGTGCCATGGGTGCCTGGGGTCCGGTGTATGTGATGAGGCCGGGGAGCAGGGCCTCTGTGCGGTGGGACTTTACCTATGTCCTCATGTGGGTGCCTGTGAGATCCTCCAGTTCTGGGTTTGGGGAGCAGGGACTTCAGGCCTGGGGTGGTGCTGGCCCTGCCAGGAATTATGGGATGGGAAGGAAGACATGGGAAATCTCATCCTTTTCTGATGATTTTCTGTAGAGTCCAGCTCAACCCTTTCACTAAAAATTTTGGTCTCATCTGCTACAAATTCCTCAAGAACCAGCCCCGGAAGGCTGACCACTGATTCTCGGGGGCTGCTCCCAGGAGGGGTGAATGTGACCGAGGCGCTGACCACTGATTCGCGGGGGCTGCTCCCAGGGGCAGAGGGCGTGGCCACTGGGACCCAGAGAAAGGCTGACACTGTGACGACACTCCCCAGAGGCAGGGCAGTGAGCCCCACCTGGGGAACCGCACCCTTTGTGAAGCACAGTGTGGTTCTGCAAGGGGAGACGGAGACCCCCATGGGAAAGACTGTGACCCCCGTGGGAAAGATCGTGACCCCTGTGGGAAAGATCGTGACCCCTGTGGGAAAGACCATGACCCCTGTGGGAAAGATCGTGACCCCTGTGGAAAAGACCATGACCCCTGTGGAAAAGACCATGACCCCTGTGGAAAAGATCGTGACCCCTGTGGAAAAGACCGTGACCCCTGTGGGAAAGATCGTGACCCCTGTGGAAAAGACCATGACCCCTGTGGGAAAGGTCGTGACCCCTGTGGGAAAGACCGTGACCCCTGTAGAAAAGATCGTGACTCCTGTGGGAAAGATTGTGACCCCTGTGGGAAAGATCGTGACCCCTGTGGGAAAGATCGTGACCCCTGTAGAAAAGATCGTGACTCCTGTGGCCCCTGAGTAGATGATTCTGGCCTCCGTGACTCTTCGGACTGAGACCTCTGGAGGGAAGGTCGAGGTCCGTGGAAGGAAGGCTGTAGCACCTGCTAAGATGACTGTCCCTCGCAGAGATGATGGTCCTCCTGGTGGGAGGACTTTGACATCTGAGGGGACACTGACCCCGATAGGTTACCTTGGTCTTTAGATGGGAGCTGAGAACAGGATTCTGCCCTGTGGCCTGTCATCGAGCCCCCAGGACACATGTCTCTTGCTTTTGACAACCTCTTGTTTCCCGTGGACAGAAAGCATTCTGTCAACTCGATGTCCCTTCCGAGTCCTCTCTCTCTAAGGAAAGGAAACCTAGAAAACTCTTCTGTGGGTCAAGGACCCTAAGCTCTGTTGGTGGCACATGCTGGGGACAGCCCTTGTCTTTTCTTGACAGAAGCCACCTGTCCCCAGCCATTCGTAACCACTCATGGGGCAAAGCCACAACAAGCTAATCTCTTTCTGTCAAATAAACTAGAAACAAAGAATCCGTCTGAGTTCTCTGGAGTTATTTTCCTTCCTTCCTTCCTTCCTTCCTTCCTTCCTTGAATTGACTGGCATGACTGTGGTTGATAAAACTACAGAGGTCGTGGGGGTACAATTCTACATGTAACACATCAATTGCATATCGTGTTGTGTGTTCACCACCCCAAGCCCGAAGTTACTTTCCTGAGGTGGCCTGTGCAACCCGATTTCAGCTTCTCCTTTTCAAGGCCACTTCCCCTACTGCAGGTTTGGGAAGAGCGAGGTGTGTCGGATCCACAGGATGGTTCTGCTCTGTGCTTCTCTCTGCCAACCTCTCACGTGACTGTGGGTCAGAACCAGAATCTCTCCTGGAGTTTTCCGTCATGCTCAAGGGAGGCCGGGAGAAGGAGGCAGAAGTTGCACCTTCCAATTATATTCCCTGCTTGGTGGCATCTTAGCTGTCTCTGAAAAGATCCCTCCCTGCTCGTTCTTCCCATAGGCAGTGATTGAGAGGGAAGCAGACGCAGCACACCTGTGTGTGACCTGCATGCAATTTGTGTGTGACCTGCACGCTTCTCCCAGGTCTCCTCCAGACGTGTGGGTTCTTGCTGACTCCACCCTGCAGTCCGCCCCCCGGGGGCACTTCCTGCCCCGACGGACCCTCGTAAGTCAGTATAGACACAGGCCCAGTTTCTGGCCCCGCCTTCTAGGAGACCATGATGCTCAGAGTGGGAGCCATGCCTATCAGTGATGCTACCTTTTTTTTTAAATCCTCTCCTGAGAACATGCTTACACAAGAGAAGGGACAGAGAACCATCGACGTCAGAGAGAGAAACATCGATGGGTTGCCTCCTGCCCGCACCCCGACCGGGAACCAAACTTGCAGCCTAGGCACGTGCCTGGACTAGGAGTTCAACCTGAGACCCTTCGGGTTATGAGATGATGCCCCAACCAGCTGAGCTGCACTGGCCAGGGCTGATGTTACCTTGTCTTTTGGAAGTGCAAGCCTCCGAGTCTTTAAGAGTCTCAAATTAGAATGCCCGTGAGGCCAGGCACCCATCCAAAATGACTGGAACAGGTAAGGATGTACCCACACACGTGTGAGTTCGTGGCCACAGGCCAATGGCCACAGCACAAGTCACAAATCAGTTAAACTACATAACAAACCAACCCCAAAACTGTAGTGACTTGCAGAACAGGCTAGACAGGGAGTGCCCGGAGTGAGCCCGGTGGTGTTGGAATTGGAGGTTTCGGTACGAACTCATGGTTCTCACAGTGTACAACAGGTCACCTGAAAACTTGGCATGGAGATATACAGCAGGCATCACATAAATGTACTCCTGGCTGGGACCACTGAGAGGGCCTGGAGGTAGCGGCATCTCAGGAGCAGGAGGCCCACAGGAGGCCCAGATCTTGATCCCTAAATTTTGTTTCCCAATAAAAGGACTGGGGAACCCTCGAAGAGGCGGCTGATTCTTGGGCTGGAGCAGGGAAGGTACAAGACAGGAATATCTTATGTTTCCAGAAACTAAACAAGTCCTCAAAAACGTTAAGACCCCATCAGAGGGGCCCAAGAGCCACCTTGAAGGAGTTCCCAGTGGCCAAGAGTGGGACAGTCTGAGCAACAAGATAACGATAATAATGGGTTATAACCCACAGACTGAAGTGCACACTGTGAGTTCACGTGCTATCAGGGAATAATCGAGTAATCCAATGGGGAAGAAGGGGCAGCTGCTCCTAACAACGGACTATCAGTGAATAAGCGTAGAAGCCAGAGTCCAGGGTGCTGAGGCAGCGCCCAGAGGCCAGAGGCACAGCGGTGGGTGGGGGAGGCCTGAGGACGCAGCTGCAAGGTGACTGGTTGGCTGATTGGCTTGGGCACGAGGGGGCGGGCTCAGGAGAGCCTGGTGGTCCTCGTTGGGAAAATGAGTACAGACGTTATGAGCTTTTCTCACTTTTATTTATTTCCTTATTCATTTTAATGTTTTGCAGTTGTTCCAATTATTTCCCCCTTTGCCCCCCTCCACCCAGCCTGCCCCCCTTCCATAGTCCGTGTCCAGTCCGCGGGTCCTTCATACACGTTCCTTCACTGATCCTTCCACCTTCCGCTTTCCTCCCTTTTCATTTCCAAAACGGCTTTGGCAAGTGAGGAGTACTGCCACCAGGGGGCAGCAGCACACAGGGCTACACGTTTTACAGGGATGGGAAGAAAACTCGAAGCACAGAAAAAAGCGACTGGAGTATCTTTCTACAAAAAAGGAGGACTCAAGTATAAATTTCTTTATCGCTATTATTGTTAAAGCCGATAGTTTCGTGCACACCGAAGCAAACAGAACTTGCTCACACTTGCTCCTCTTGCTGGAAAGAGGAGGCTGTGGTTAGGTCGAAGCTGAGTTCAGAGAAACCAGATGTAAAATCCCCGCTCCGCCCTTTGTTAGCTGTGTGGTCAGCGGGCAGTTAAATCAGCAGTGGGCGCGTGACGAGTGTGCCTGGGACAAAGATGGCGCTCAATGCGTGGGAGTTACTGTTATAAGCATATCCACAGTAGCTCTTAAGCTTCCCTTGAAGAATTTATTTAGCATGTATATAAGAAACATTGGATCACACACGTGAAACTGGAAGCTTCTTTTGATCTGTGCATAGTTCAGCAGCTTGGAGGGCAGATCCGTGACAAAGTTCCAGTAACTTCTCTTCTGCCAGCCACAATTTTACAGAGAGAATCATGTTGGTAACTGGCCTTTCCCACTGATGCTTCTAGAACGTCACATGGTATAAATGGCAGAGGAAAAGTATTAAGTGTGTCATTTGCTGGATTTTAAACAACTTCAGTGGCTCTTTACTGCTCACAGAATAAAGTCAATATTGCCTAGCCAGGCATGTAGGGCCCGCCTTACAATCTGGGCATGCTGCACTGCAGGGATTCTAACCATGGTGTGTTGTGATCAGTTATGAGGCATGTCATATGTAATTTGGTAGGGTAATAGTTAAAATACCAAACGCTACTCCTTTACTGAGTGTTGTAGATGCAAGACTATTCCTATTTTAGCGTTATAGCCCTTTCCATTTCAAATGGGTTTTTTTAAAGATTATTTATTTATTTATTTTTAGAGAGGAAAGGTGGGAGAGAGAGAGAGAAACATCAATGTGTGGTTGCTGGGGGCCATGGCCTGCAACCTAGGCATGTTTGTGCCCTGACTGGGAATCGAACCTGCGATGCCTGGTTCGCAGTCCGTGCTCAATCCACTGAGCTACGCCAGCCAGGGCTCAAATGGTTTCTTGAGTAGGAAACAATGTTCAAAGTTGCAACTAGCATGAGGAGAATTGGGCAGATGCATGCTGGGAATTGCTCTCTGGCCCAGGGCTCACCACGTTCTCTGAATTCATCACATGGGTTCACGCTTGCACGCCTCCCTCCTGCCTCTAGTGGCTCTTCCACTTCCCGTGCTCCCTCATCCAGCAGCCTGCAAGGCCCTGACTCAAATGCCGCCTCTTCTGTGCAGCCTTTCCCGCCCCAGCAGGAGCCCGCATCCCCTCTCCCTGCTCCCTTTAGGAGGACTTCATTCAACACACATTTGAATGCCTAGGGTAGTCTCATTGCCTCACAGTTTCATCATGTGTCAATCATTTTAGCAGGCATGCAGCTGTTTGCATTCAAGGCCCATTTCTTATCTTTGCACTTCCAGAGCTCAGATAGGAAGTGAGCATGGAGTAGGCGTTCCGTAAATGTTGGCTAATCTGAGAACGGAGGCGTTGAAACGAAACAGCAGACTGCCGTGGACCCCGAGAATCGCATATGGAGAGCCGCAGGTGAGGCTGATCCGAGGAAGAGGCAGGAAAGACATGGAGAGGAGACTGCAAATCTCAAAGAAGCATGTGCCCTTCGGAGGTGGGAGCGAACGGCTCTGGCAGAGGTTGCCACGCACACTCCCCAGTAGACGCGGGCACCGGGATCTTTTGTCCCCAGCACACTTTACATTTGTTATCACGGCCTAATCTTTAGATTCCATCAGCAAAGCCATTAACTGCTTTTTAAATAGACCACAGAGTGGACTTTAAAGACCTGTGCGCCTGCCAAAGGGAAAAGCAAACAGCCCTCGGACGTGCAGGGGAACAGGCTGGTACAGAGCTGGAAAAGCCCACGTGCCTCGGGATTAATAGCCCAGGGAGATGAGGGTATAAGAGAGGGACCCGACCTCCCTCTGCGTGTCCCAACACGGGTCTGTCGCTGTGTCCTGAGTGTTGGCGGGCGGTTGAAAATCAGCACCATGAAGATCCTGGTCTTGGTCTTGGTTTTCCTACAGCTCTCAGAGGGTGTGGAAAGGTGTGTATTGGGATTCACCCCATTGTGAATTCCAGCACTAAGGGAGCCAGGCGAGATGGGGAAGAACAAAGGGCTTCCTCTACGGGTCTCTTGGAGAGGTCAGCTTGTCTCTTGGTGCCACGAACTGAAGCCCCACTGGGGGCCAGGACTTGACATGGATGGGTGGATGGGTGGGTGGGTGGGTGGAGAGTGTGTGTGCGTGTGTAAGCGTGGGTTGGGTGTTTTGTTGGTGTAAGAAGGATGGACCATCCCTGTCTCGAGCTTAGAGGACAGACTGGGAAGAAACAGACATTTATTCTCTGGAAATAATAGATAATCACAAGCCCCCCAAAATATTATGTAGTGCATTTCTGTGCCGGGACTCCTGGAATGACTGGGGTGGTCAGAACTCGCGGAACTCCAGGAGGATTTCCCGCTGACAGGTGCTTGCGGAGTTGGCTACAGGAGCGGTTGGAAACGCTAGGTCGGACCGTTGAGGGGAGAGAGGGCTTGAGTGGGACGAGGCGAAGCTCGCCCCTCTTCCCCGCCCTGTGTCTGCAGAGTCATCCTGAAAAAGGGCAAG